GCTTCGTCTCAGACGAGGGCAAGGGGCATTTGCGGCTTTGATCCTAGGGCGAGGATCTCGCGGTGGTCGGTCCATCGCGCCACTGCGCATGTCGGCACGAACGAAGTGGGTACGGAAAAAATGGGTACGATGCCCAATAGCAGTTCCTGCTCATTTGAACAGGGCTCGCTGTCCGCGCCGCCGCGGTTTGCGTCCATTTGAGACAGAAGGCCGCCTGCCCAACAGCGGCCGCTGCTGGTTTGGGGCGACATTTGTTGTTCGGCATTGTGCCCGTTTTTCCGTACCCATTTCGGGCGTCCAAGCCATGGGGCCTTGGGGACGTTTGGAGGCTTTGGGGAGGCTTCGCGCGGGTCTCCTGGGGGCCCTGTGCGCACTGGGGCCTCTCTGGGCCTATTGAGGGGTCTTGGGATCATGTCGAAGGTGGTTCGTTGCAGCGGCTGCGGCGGTGGGGCGCGACGTTTTGGGGGGCTTGCTTGAAGCCTCTTGGGCAATCGCGCGTCGGTGTGCGGGGCTTGTTGGGCCGTCCTGGTCGCCCTGGGGAAGCATGCGGCGTGCATGTCTGGGCCACAAGGCAACCTGGGGGGTGCGGCCGATCGTGGCCTCATGGGCCAACCCCCACGGCCTCCGAGGCGGCTTGCCAGACTCGTGGGCGCCGACGCTGGCCGGGGCTGGCCCCGAGAGGCTCTGTAGAGGGTCCAGGGGGCCCAAGCATGGGCAAACTGGGCCCGAGAGCGCCGCGTCCCTCCTCCTCCTCCTCCTCCTCCTCCTCCTCCTCCTCCTCCTCCTCCCTCCGGGGAGGGGGGGGGGGCTGGCGTGCACGCCGACCCGGGACCCCCCCCCCCCCTCTGGAAGCGTTTCTTTTGGACTCGATGGCGAGCCTGGTGGACCTTCCGCTGGCGAGCTCTGGAGGACCTCAGGCCGTCGCAGTACAAGAAGGGGAGCGCTTCGAATTGAGACGCATCTCCCGGAACCACACCGGCAGGGTCGGTGGATTTGTATGCGGCCAGCGCTGTCCGTTACCTCTGACCTGCGCCGCACCCAGCAGCAATATGGCAGCATATCAGAGGTGGACGAGGAGAAGAGGAGGAGGAGGAGGAGGAGAAGGAGGAGGAGAAGGAGGACCGAAGAGTTGGGCGGGCAGCGCTGGCTGCTACCCCTTCGCCTGCGCTGCACCCAGCATCAGCGTCACAGTAGATCAGAGGGAGCAGCCACGGCTGTCGACAGTGTTCTCGAGATTGACTTGGATCCCAGGTCACCAGGGCGGCTCTGGACATCGGCCGGGTGTATTTGGTTGCGGGCGACTCGTGTGCACCGTACCGCGTTGGCGTCTCCGGAGGCGTCGTCGACCCTAGACCCAGAAATGGTATGGTGCATATTTGTTTCGGGTGTTCAGGGCCAAAAATCTTCACCCACCAAACCACCCCATTCCAACCCGAAGGCCCCATCTTGCCCTCCATTCCCAGTGGGGGGGGAGTCGGGGAACATTGGAATAACACATGCGGAACTGGTGCCCCCCCCAACCCAAAATGTGAGTCTTCGGGTTGGATTGGGGTTAGGTAGTCAAAAACTATGCACCGTACCGCGTTGTAGCGGGGCCTGCAGGGAGTCCAAGCATCGTCCGGTGCATGGGCGCCATTTTCTCGCAGCTCGGACATGGGCAGGATGTCCAGCGCCCCCCCTCGCGGCTCGAGGCCCCCCCTGCAAGCGTGGTGGCTCCCATCCTGGCCGTCGTGCAGAACACACACACACACACACGCACACACACACACACACGCACACACATACACACATTCACACATACAAATATTCACACATTCACACAAACAAACAAGCACACACACATACATACACACATACACACATACACACATACACGCACGTACGCACACACGCACGCACACACGCACACACACACACACACACACGCACACACACACACACACACGCACGCCCGCACGCGCGCGCAGCACGCGCACGCGCAAGCGCACGCGCACACACACACACCCACACGCACGCCCGCACGCGCGCACGCGCGCCCCGCCCGCACGCCCGCACGCACGCACGCACGCACGCACGCCCCCCTCCTCCCCCCCCACACGCACACGCACACGCACACGCACACGCACACGCACACGCACACGCACACGCACACGCACACGCACACGCACACGCACACGCACCCGCACACGCCCACGCACACGCACACGCACACGCACACGCACACGCACACGCACACGCACACGCACACGCACACGCACACGCACACGCACACGCACACGCACACGCCCACGCACACCCACACGCACACGCACACGCACACGCACACGCACACGCACACGCACACGCACACGCACACGCACACGCACACGCACACGCACACGCACACGCACACGCACACCCACACGCACACGCACACGAACACGCACACGCACACGCACACGCACACGCACACGCACACGCACACGCACACGCACATGCACACGCACACGCACACGCACACGCACACGCACACGCACACGCACACGCACACGCACACGCACACGCACACGCACACGCACACGCACACGCACACGCACACGCACACGCACACGCACACGCACACGCACACGCACACGCACGCGCACGCGCACGCGCACCCGCGCACCCACACGCACGCGCACACGCAAACGCACACGCGCGCACGCACACGCGCACGCACACGCACACACACATACTTGCAAACTCACACACACACGCACGCACGCACCGCACGCACCGCGCACGTACGCACGAACGCCACGCACGCACGCACACGCACGCAGCACGCACACGCACGCACCCGCCACGACACCCGCACGCACCCGCACGCACCCGCACGCACCCTCACGTACCTCACACGCACGCACGCGCACGCACACGCACGCACACGCACGTACACGGACGCACACGCACGCACGCACGCACGCACGCACGCACACACGCAGGCACGCACGCACGCATGCACGCACGGACGCACGCACGCGCACACGCACACACATGCACACATACACACAACACCACAAACACAGACATAACGACACACACACACACACGCACGCACGCACGCACACACACAGACACACACACAAACACACACACACACGCACCCGCACGAAACGCACACGCACACGCACACGCAACACACACACACACACACAGCGCACCATGGTCGCGCACGCGCACGCGCACGCGCACCGCGCACGCGCAACGCGGCACGCGCACGCGCACACGCACACGCACACGCACACGCACACGCACATTTACACACACACCCACCCACGCACGCACGCACGCACGCACGCACGCACGAGCGCACGCACACACGCACACACACACACACACACAGACACACACACAAACACACATACACACCCACACACATACGCGCACGCTGACGCGCACGCGCACGCGCACGCGCACGCGCACGCGCACGCGCACGCACGCACGCACTCACGCACGCGCACACGCGAACGCGCACACGCACACGCACACGCACACGCACACGCACACGCACACACACACACACACACGCACACACGCACACACATACATACACACAGACACACACACACATACGCACACACACAACACACAACACACAACACACAACACACAACACACAACACACAACACACAACACACACACACACACTCAGTCGACGATTCCCAGGAAAGCAGGGAAAAATATGGACCGGGGGGAGACGAATACCAAGACGTTATGGGAAGATATGCGGAATCCTGGGATTTATGTCCATTCAATTATTTGTGTGTGTGTGAGTCCCTAGGCCCCCTGCATCTGAACGTGCGTGACCTCCCTCGGGTGAATTAGAGGGCACTGTGGAGCCAAAGAGCTCTCGAGCTGTGACTACGCATCTTCTCGCACTGCCTCGTCCCCAGAGCGTGCCGACATGGGGGGAGGGGGCCAGTGGGGAGAGGGAGGCGGGGAGAAGGGGGAGTTCGGGCAAGGGGATGGGATATGTGACGGGGAGAGGGCGGAGGGCAGGGATGGCGGGGTGAAAAAGGCGAAGGCGACCCAGGGGGGCCCGGGGGAGGGGGGGTGGTACGGGGATGGGAAGGGGATGAGGGGAGGGGGGAGGGCAGGAGTGGCAGGGAGAGGGAACATGAACATCACACGGCCGACCAGGGCCCTCGACCACGCCTTCGGGTGGTGGCTTTCGGGCCCCTCTGCTCCGAGGCTGGGCAGCAGCGCCCGTGTTGCAACGAGCGCGATGCCCAGCTCTGTGGGCACGGCAGAAGGGAGGGAGGGCAGGCGGAGGGCGAACCCAGTCCGGGTCGAAGCGCGGCCAGGGGGCCCGTCCTCGGGCGCGACCCGACCAGGCGCGCAAAGGCGCCTCCCGCCAGGGGCCGCGATGGGGCGCGCCCGCGGAGGCCCGGCAGAGCACCCGGGGCCGCGCAGAGGAGTCTCTCGGGCCTCGCGCCCGCCGGTCCGGCGGCCCCGCGACGACGGCATGGCTGCCGGGCGGCGCCTCGCTCCCTCGGCGCGCCTCGCTCCTTTCGGTCGGGCGCGTCCTCCTACGTGGACGGATTTTGGACGGAGCATCAAAACATATAATAGGGGACCGAATGCGAGCCCTACCCCTACCCCCCACGATTTCTGAGGGGGAGGGTGGGGTTCACTTCGCTCGGGAGCTCCCGGACGAAGTGAACCCCACCCTCCCACTCAGAAACCAAGGCGGGTAGGGGTAGGGTTCGCATGTGGCCCCCTGACATAGTCCAGGCATGCCCAAAAATGGTAACAAGAATACTCCGAAGATCGTCTCCAGACCATTCTTCTGATTATTTTTGAACGCTCCTCCCAAACAGTAGTCCAGACATGCCCAGACATGGCAAGACATACTCCGAACACCGTCTCCAGACCATTTCTTGGACTATTTTCTTGAATACTCCTCCTGCAGAGGGACACGCGCCCGACTTCACCGTGCCTGCTCGCCTGCCCCTCGGGCCGGGGGCCCCCGCCGCAGGCTACTCGCAGCCGCCGCTGGGCGGCGGCTATGGGCCGCCGCCGGGCGGCGCGTACGGGCCGCCGCCGGGCGGCGGGTACGGGCCGCCACCGGCGAGCGGATGCCTCAGCGCGCCCCGGTGCGCCACGGATCATCGAGCAGTGGCGAAGCTTCCTGGCTCGCCTATAGCCCTACGAAACAATATTCTCAGAACCTTTTTGTGTTTTCCAGGAGATGTTCTTAGAACATGTCTGGCGGAGTCTGTTTTGTTTTATCACATCGGGCTGATTATGTTCAAAGAAAACTGTTTTTGTTCTTAAAACATGTTTGAGTTTTAAGAGCATCTCGTGGTAGGACTATAGGAGTGCCAGGACGGTCGGTCCATGCTCAACAGGAGGGGGCCGAGGGTCACCCGCACCCTTCAGGAGGGGAACAAAACGCACACAGACACATCTAATCGTCGATTCCCAAGAAGGTATGGGAAAATATGGGACGTGGGGGGGAAGACACAAGCCCAGAACATGTTGGAAAAGATGGGGAATCCTGCTACTCGTGTCTATTTATTGGTGTGTCCCAGGGCCCCCTACAAGCCTGGGCAGCACCATGGTGACCCAGCTATCGCTTGGTATCTGGTTCCGGTGTGTTGCATCCTGCCAGCTTGCACCACGTGGCGCTAGGAGCCGGGAGTGAGCGCGGGGATCCCCAGGACCCCTTCGGGTCATGAGGGTCGAGGGTCGAGGGTCGAGGAGGATCGAGGGTCGAGGGTCGAGGGTCGAGGCGAGGAGGATCGAGGGTCGAGAGGCGAGGAGGATCGACCACCGCCGAGGACTGCACGGCTGGCTATACGAAAGGGGCCCCCCACACAGCCCCCCAAACACTGACCAAGCGGGGGTGCCGAGGGTCCAGGGCTCTCAGACGTTCGTGGGCGTGCCTTTTGAGTCTTCGGCGCTCGGTCTTACACCGTAGGCGATGCTCAAGAAAACTTAAGTTTTCGGCCAGAGTCTCGATTATTCTTAACGTTTCAATGTAAATCCTAAGATTTTAATGGAAACGTTGGGTTTTTATTCAAGATCTGACACTATGAATTTCTTAACCCATGATTTCTTAAGCATTTCGCAGGGTGTACGAGTAGTGGCTTCGGGTGTTGCCAGAAGTGCCCCAGGCCCACGATGCCCCGAGCTCTCCGCTCCATTTCGGGGCCTCTCAGTGCAGGATCCTACCAAGATCACGATCGGATTCCATGGATGCCCCTGTCGGATTCCAGAGCGCAAGAGGATTGCACCATGAACCCAGCAACTACTAACTATCTCAATTGGATTCCGATCGGATTCTGATAGGGTTCAAAGAGGATCCCAGATCCCGGTAGGACTCCACCATGGGACTCCCTCATAGGATCCCTCCAGCGGGGTCTCCCGTCGGATTCCCCCCAGGGGATCTCACCCATAGTTTCCAATCCAAGCCTTCTCATAGGCCCCCCCTTCAGGTATACCTAAATTAGTTAGGCAGGGCTTCACCACCGGATCCGAAGATTCCTGAGGATTGCTACGGATTCCTGGATGCAGTCATCGATCCCCCCAGAGAGGATCCCAAATCCCACTGGGATTCCACCACGGGACTTCCCCACAGGAGTCCTTCATCGGCGTCCCCCCGATGGCCAACACGGGCCGCCCTCCATCCGGTTGCTGGTGCAGAGGATGAGCCTCAGCTCGCATTGACGTGACTAGCTCTGACCACGAGATGTCTCAACCACAGTTGGACAAAATACGCGCCCCCCTCTCTTGTTCGAGTATACTTACGAACTAGCTCCTACCACTGTTGCTCAGACTACCAGTTCTCTACTGCCCAGATGATGCTGGGGCAGGGGACCCATTCCAGAATACAGGTGCTACATAACGCCGGCGGTACTGGGGGCGGGGGTGGCGTTCTTCTTGGGACTGGAGTGCCCCTTCTGGATCGACGGGAAAACCAACCGAGGTCGGCGCAAACGGAATCCGCGTGGTTGGGCGTAATTAGGGCTCACCGATGGAAGCGACCTTGTCGTATATGATTTACAATCTAGTTAGTTCATCATTTGTACACGGTCGCTCGGATTAGGATCTGTTGTTATTGCCTTGAGGGATACGGGCGGGCCGATTGCGGAATACGGATGCTAAATAATGCGGGCGCTACGGGGGGCGATAATTCCTGTCGTGGTCTACGCCTCACGGAGGCAGAACAACTAGCATGTCTGATCAGGGGTTGCAGACAGAAACCACATGGTGGTAGGTTTAGGCGCTGCATTGGAATATGGTAAAGGATGTTGCGTTGCATTGAAATCGTTGGCATTGCTCTGCTATGGTTCACATTGCCCTGCGTTGCTTTGCACTGCTGTATTCCATTTCTCAGCACTGCCGTAGTTTAGTCAGACTGACAAGTTTGGTTCAGTTTACCCGATGGTTTTAATCAATCCATCACGTCGTGACGTTGAGTGGAGCCTCTCAGAGTGAAAATATTCCTGGGAGCGTCAGGATCGAGGGTTGAGGTTCGATCGAAGATGGAGGTGCAATCGATGGTTTGTCGATGGTATCCTCTTACGTTTTTCAATGGTTATCGGGCGTCTCACTTGCTTTTTGCCGGCGTTCTATAATCGATATGTTTAGATTTCCCATGGGTTGTGCGGATCTCTGAAGATTTCGGAGGATTCCTGCCGATTCCAGAGAACTCCGGAAGATTCCTGAAGGACTCTTGATTCTGGAGGATTCCTGATGATTCTTTTGGATTCCTGGGGATTCCTGAGGGACCCTGCGGATTCCTCAAGGATCCCGGAAAGATTCCTGAAGGATTCCCCAAGGATCCCCGAGGATTGCATAATGATTTCTGAAGGATTCTTGGGGATTCTTCCAGATCCCTCAAGGATTCTTCCGGACTCCTGATGCATCCAAAGGATTCGCATCGGATTCCTGAAGGATTCCTCCAAGGTTTCCGAGAGATCTTTCGGCATCCTTCGAATTTCAATGGATTCTTGACGATTTCTGAAGGATTCTTCAAGGATATTTCAAGTTTCAGAGGCGGATTTGTTGGAGTTTCCTCGAGGATTCCTAAGGAGTCTGACGATTCCTGAGGATTCCTGAAGACTCCAATTGAACCCCTGAAGGATTCCTCCGGATCCCTGACGATCCCTGAGATCCCAGGCGATTCCATAAGGATTCCTGAGGCTTCTTGCGGCATCCTGTTGATTCCTGATAAACTCCTGAAGGATTCCTAAGGGCGCCTGAGGATTCCTGAGGATTCCTTTGAGTTGCACGAGGGTTTCCGAAGGATTCCTGAAGGAGCCCGGGAGGATTCCTAACAGATTCTTGAGGTCTTTCGGATTCCAGGGAATTTTTCGAGAATTCTTTGGATCCTTCAAGATCCCGGAGGATTCTCGAAGGATTCAATGTGTGCCAGTTCCTGTTGGACTCGTGCGGGTTCCTGAGGATGCTTGACGATTCCAGAGATTTCAAATAAGGGTTCTTGACGGATCCCTGAGCATGCCTGCAGCTATCCTACGGGGGATGAGAATTCCAACGGATTTTTCAGGTATCCTAAAGATTCCCGAAGGATCCCGGAAGGATTCTGACCGACTCTTGGAGATTATCTGAGGATTCGCGCAGGATTCTTAAATACCCGTTGCTCCCACCGCCGCCGCCCCCCCAGGCGGAATTAGACTGCTAACGATATCGCTCGATGGCCCCCCCTAAGAATTATCCGTAAGGGCTTCGCCCTCTGCCGCCGGCCCCTTGTCTATCATAATGGGATCTGCCAAATTCTATCAGAACTATGTTGGGGTGTCTGGGCGCCGCGTTGAAGACATTTGAGAGCATCATACGAGGACAGATAGGAATCATCAACACACACTGATATCGTGAGGTTCGTATTCAACGCTATGTTGCCTTGTTGGAGCGTCCCCCTCGCGTTATGCATGGGAAGCCCTCTCGGTGCAACCGGGGGCAGCTTGACGCCATCTTGAGCCAAACACGCGGTTGGAGTGGTCTCCTGCTCCCTGGCATACACCGCGATGTTCGAGGACCGGTGGCTGCGGGTCCACCGCCGAAGTTTCAAGTGCTTGCGCGGGGAGGGAGGGAGCAGAAGCTACCACCGCACACTATACTCCGAGGTAGACAAATAGTTTGTTTCTGCCCTGGAGGGGGGGTGGCGCGCGTGGGCATCCTCCGCGAGGTGGGTTCGTGGCTTCGGGGGCGCGAACGTTGCGTATCTTACGCAGGATCGTGGCCTCGGAGGCGCGAGCGTGGCTTATTTTGCGCAGGATATCTTGGCCTCGGACGCGCGATACTGTGCCGCATGTTGCAAGGGATCGTGGCCTCGGATGCGCGAGCGCTGTCCACTTT